AGTTACTACTACACAAGAAACCAACTCCCAATAGTGCAGGAAATTGAGAACATGTGTTTGTTTTGCTGTGCATCTGAATTATCACGGGGGTGTCTAAAATCAGCTATGACCTTATCTGCAGACGTAAATCAGGCAATATTGAATTCTGAATAATGTAAGTCCGGATACTATGACAACACGTGTTTATAATTTTCCAGGTAGTAACACGAGTGCCTCAGGATTGTTTTACGAAAGTGTTCCACTGCAGTCACAGTCTTTTGGTTCAGGAATGAAAGGAAGCTGTTAAAATCTCTCCCAAACAAGACTGTTGAGATCGTGCTTTCTGCTTCCTTGATTCATTAGGAGCTTGTGATTTTTCCAGTGTAATTTATGTTGAATAAATTTGTCATCACCATCATCCAGTTTCCTAAACATGGAGAAACACTTGAAGCTGCTTCAAGTAAGCACAATGATGATTTCACACTTGTTATTATCAATTGAAGCACTGACAGACTCTTCAGTGGTCAGTCATCGCATTAGAAAATGTAAATTTTAGTAGATGTCTAAATATCTTGACACAGAGGCAGTCAAATTTCTCTCCTACACTCCAGGCCATTTTAAAATGTTCCCAGAACCTAATATAATTATTTTGTCAATAAGCAGGTAGGGGCACATACAATTCTGTCATTAGATGTTGCTGGTCATTGACTGCTAGGAGGGCAGAGTACTTGACTAGATACTTCCATATTGGCACTTTGGCTGTTCTTTCATCAATAGTTGTGTTAAATCAGAGATGACACTTTATTCCCTATACGTTTCAAGAGAAAACGCTGGAGAAAAAAACCAAAACAAACAAAACAACAAAACGCCATGCCAAAAAGTGTTTTTACTTTTTGTAACAGGCATTGTATTTCCTAAGGAATGTTTTCTGCCAAGAGTCCTTCTTTTGCTGTCTGTAGTGTCTCTGAACGAAGGTGAAGCCTTTGACTATTGGTATTTTATAAAAGTCATGTATACTCAATATGTATTCTTAGTAACCCATGCAAATAACTTCCTTATAAGTCTCCTATGCATTTTACATCTTTGTTCTTCTGGTGAGTTCTCATTTTTCCCAGTGGAGTCTGGCATGTGGGATGTGCCAGCCAGTTCATGGAATGCCG